CATGAAATGATGGTTAACGTGCAACTGTTAACACTAAATCAAAGCAATTAGTTATAAATTTGCAATTAATTTGCAATTAATTTTTAATTTGTACCTTTTTCTCTTCACATTTACAGACAGTCGCTGCATATGTGGCAGCAACAAGGACGGCTGAGCACAGAAGGAACACCTTGAACTCCTGGTGAAAGTAAAACAAAAATGTATTAGAAATTTCTTTTTGGCTGAAAAATTAAACAAACTGCACTCTTTTGATTACTGGTGACTGCGGCATCAAATCAAACAAAATTATCGTCAAATTAAACTTACCATCTTTTTTCCTCGGTAAAAGAAAAGTGGCACTGCTTCGTTCTTCTCGTAACAAAGGACTTATCCTTTCTTTGTCGAGAATGGACTGATAGAACCAACGGACGAACATTTTATACTATCTAACCTCTGTCAAATGTTTCCTCATTCTTAACTTGATATCACGGATATCTAGCAGTTTGACAACTGAATTTGGACTGATTTTTTTCCGTGCGTCAGCTCTTCTGCTGTAACGAGTTCAACCTCGCCGATCAGCACTTCCCTCAGCTATGTTGCTAGTGCGCATATCAAAAATCAGTCCAGCTCTTGGAATTACCCTATCCCAATCGACACTCTGAAACAGCCTGGAGAATTGACGATTTGTCCAGATGTTAAAATAATGACAAATTTTGGCGATAACATGAAGTTTTACATGAAATTAACACACACTGTTTTTGCTAAGACTTTCCGGTGTGTCGGTCCACTCGCTTACAACAGATTTTGAGCTGAGATCATCAGAAAACATATCGCCAGTTCATGCTTCAGCAACCAAAGTATTGCGCATGACCCGGCTAGAACTTTTCATGTCAGACATATTTGATGTCCATGCCTCATTCCATATTGGGTGGCCATTTTCTGGGAATTCTGGTCAAAGCCTCAGACGTTTTCTGGAAAAATGACAGGCGTTAAAATTATCACACGAATAACAACAAGCACCACAGTAAAAAAGGTTCCATTTCTCAGAATTTTTTCAAAGGCATGACGAAAGACACGATTTTGGGAGTAATGCCTGTTTGATACCTGATCTTTTTAAAGCTAGATTAATGTCATATAAACAGATAACGCTCATGGCAGAGAACAAGAGTCTTTTAATCTTTCTTCCTTGTATGAAAGATGACCTGTAATAACCTAGCTGCCGTTGCAAATGCGCAGTTATGCCATCGCTGAAAGAAGAGGGTCAAGTTTCGAAGCGCTGTTAACATCACAGTAGTTTCATAACATATTAGAGCTGAAACGTAAAGAACCTGTCCAGATTTTTAAAAGAAAAATAAATAAATAAGCCATCCTGAGAAATCGCATGAAATTCTCTTATGTTGTGTCGGCAGACTGTTTTAAACGGTAGATGGTTGATGCCTGATGTTTTTAAAGCTAGATTAACGACAAAACAGACGACACTTATGGCGTTGCTATGGGAGAGAACACGGGCGCAATAGCGTCGCGCACTTATGACGTCACGAAAATTTAATCCCCCTGTAATTCTTGTCTGAGTCATGTAGGGGTCTCCGGTGATGTAATCTATTTTTAGAAACTGTTCGCGACGCTATTGGCCAACCCTAACGGAACCCGGTATTTTTCTTCTTTGTATAAAAGATGACATGAAAAACCTGTCGTTGCGAATGCACAGCCATGCCATCGCTGAAGCAAGAGGGTCAAGTTTTGAAGCGCTGTTGGCATCACCGTAGTTTCATAACATGTTAGAGTTGAAACGCAAAGAATCTGTCCAGATTTTTAAAAGAAAAATAAATGAAGCCGTCATCCTGAAAAATCGGATGAAATTATCTTATGCGGTGTTGGAAGACTGTTTTAAACGATAGGTGTTTGATGCCCGATGTCTTTAAAGCTAAATTAACGACATGTAAGCAGATAACACTTATGGCGTTACTATGGGAGATAACAAGGGCGCAATTGGCCAACCCTAACGGAACCCACATTAATTTGGTATTTTTCTTCCTTGTGTAAAAACATGACATGAAAAACCTGTCGTTGCAAATGCGCAGTCATGCCATCGCTGAAGCAAGAGGGTCAAGTTTCGAAGCGCGCGCTGTCGACATCACAGTAGTTTCATAACATGTTAAAGTTGAAACGTAAAGAACCTGTCCAGATTTTTAAAAGAAAAATGAATAAAGCCGTCATCCTGAGAAATCGCATGAAATTCTCTTATGAGGTGTCGAAGACTGTTTTAAACGATAGATATCTCTTAATTCAAGAGAAAACTATACAGTTTGCTAATAAATACAGAAATTCACTTTCTATTTATCTTTCTTTGTAGTCTCAGAGATAAACATTACGGTTAAATTAATTAAATCCTATTTTCTCCCACCTTTGTCTCCGATAAAAAAATTCTCTATATTGTTTTATCTCTCCCGAAGTTCACTAACATCAAGTTCATGACTCATTTAGTACGCAAATGTGAAAAATGTTTAAACGTTTCTAAAAAGGTACATATCTCTTTTATGCCCCTTTCAGTATTTACACAACAATAATTTTTTAGATTATATTTGCATGTTTTACGTGCACTTCAACGAGTTTTGGTTTTCCGAAAAGGTCGCCGGTATAGATATTTACCGCAATTATAGTCTGTCAAATATTTTCCCTCGCGTGCGACTAACTGGTTTAAACGCTTCACGCGACTGAATATTCCCTAGCTAAAATTGAGGAATATCCGAGTGATATTCCCTAATAAATATTTTAAAATGACCAGTTCTCACATGTTGCAAAAAAAGTAACCTAGAAAAACTTAAGGGCACATCAAAAGTTACGCGACCTATGCGCGCTTTTCAAGTTATAATCACATCCACTTATTTCTGGCCCAGATATGTTTTTTGCTCTTTTGCTTGTTTTCAGTAACTCTCCCAGGAACGTAATTTAGAGTTATTGGGCATGCGCAGTGCATCCATAGCTGAAGGAGGGATATGAAATCCGGTTACTAGAATAGTATGTCCAAAAAATGGGAAAGTCAGCCTAATTTTAGTCGTCAATCATGTAATCCTTAATAACCCCAATTGAGTTTAGTTACATAATCTGACAGCAATTTCTGCAGCACATGCGCAAGACTACGATTGCTGAAGAGAGTTGAAGAGTTGATTTTAGGTGACTTTGAAGTCACGTTTGGAGAATTAGACCAAATGCATCAAATCTAAATGTTGCACGTTGTTGAAAAATCTATTGCGAGTGGTGCGGATGGATATAATTTTTACCAGTCAGTTGTGATCTTTGCACCAACTTGGTGAAATTGTAATGCCATCATGGACATGACAAAAGGTCTTATAATAACTTTCGGATCTCCAGATGTTTTCGATTACTTATTAACAACGGGGTTGGGTAACAGCACTTATGGTTTTGAACAAGTGCCGTAGCGCCATAGCGTGGTGCTATTGCGAGGTCATAAATGTGACTTGTATTGTAGAGCTGAGACAATATAACAGGATGAGATAATCAGTTCAGTTGCAGCAAGAGATAATCTCCTGGTTGCAGGTGTAAAATATAATATAATTCGTAATAAATCCCTTTTGAGTTTCCTTCGGTGGAGTCATCATAAAGTCTGGATAATCAGGTGGATTCATTTGCACACATGCGCAATAATATGATTGCTGAAGTGGGTTCCAAAGCTTAATCTAGGACACTGGAGGCCATGTTTGTTGATTACACGCATTACAAGGTAAATTTTTTACCATGCATTCTGTCATGATCTTTGCACCAAAGTGTATTACCATTGCCAATTTCAGGTCCAATATAATAAGTTTCAGTTATCCCAGATTTTTCAAAGTACTTATTTAGAGACATGTAGGGTGGATCCTGGAACTGCAATCGAAACTGCACTTAGAGATATTGAACACGCGTAGTAGCACCATAGCTGAAAGAAGTGCTAGTACGAGGTCATAAAGGGTGCCTCTGCCACAACAAGAACGAAGAACTGTCGATTTTCTGTTACCGGAGAAAAATGGTGAGTTTAGCTTTTGATTTAACAATTTTCCTGTTCGCTACTAAGGAAATTTAAGTTATGTTTTAGTCATAAAAACACCAAAAATCTATAGAGCTTGCTTCTGCTCAGAAGCCGGATACATCTGTTACATATTTTGTTTTTTTCCTTCACCAGAAAATCAAAATAAAAAAAAAGTGTTTTGCCGTCCTTGTTGCTGCCACAGCTGCAACAAAAAACTGTAAATGTGAAGACAAAGAGGTAAATAAGAGTAACGCCTCACTTGAATTAAGGCATGGGTCTTGCTTATTTGTGATGTTTTGAACCTTTTTTCTAGATTTAGTCTTTTTCCTAAAAACGTGGCTTCTAATTGTTAATTTTTATGTAAAATGATTTTTTCTGACAATTTTCTCGACTAAAGTGGTCACGTGATTGACCACACCCAAAATTGAAAGAAATATGATCATTTAAGTTACAAGATGTAAACGTACTAGAAAACTCTCGTTTTTTCTTTCAAAACCTTTACCTTAGCTGGGTATATGTCGTTCTAAACGGGGATTCTGAAAATGTTTTATTCTTTTGTCATTATTTCCTATTTTTTCCTAGTCCCAGTCCTCTCCAATGGATATACGTTTTAATTTTAACAAAAGAAATAAGTCTATCAAACCCCGTTTAATTCTCTAAACTTAGGGGCTATAGCCATTCGCATAAATCAAAATTAGTCAAGCATTACAACTGCAATCCATTGTAAATTTGGCAACAAAGTTATATAAACAACTGGGTCTAGCCAATCACGTGACCAAGCAGCAAAGTTCTTGAAACCAAAACATAAAAAGCTTCTTTCAAATACTTCACCCTATGCAAGTTCATAAGCGATAGCTTAAATATAATTTAAATAAGACCACCCCCTCCAAAATATAGCTAGACCCATTTAGGCTTTGGTAAATTGTGCTAGCATAATTTAAGCATAATCTAGCAAAACGAGCATAACTTTAAACTTTTATTTCAGTTTAGCACTGCTAGCATAATCCGAGCTTTTATCCGTTGAAAACAACAACAAAAAAAAACATCATAGTTCTAGAATAATTCAGTTTGTATTTTATTTCTGTGTTGTTTTTGGAAAATAGTGAGGTCTGTGCTAAGGCCCATGGTCAAATATGGTCCGGCAGACTCCAGGTCGCCCTGTGCATATCTGAGACTCTCCTCAGGCCACCACGCTTATGGCTCGGCGGCTCGGCCCCACAGGGCCTCAGATCAAAGATGGCGTCGTCCTCGAGTACATCCACTTCCAGCACTTCCAGCCCTTTCGGCACTTCCAGTGCCGTACCGAGAGCTTCAGTCTCTAAAGAACGTGTTCCTAAAAGTAATACCGGAAAGTACAAGGAGAGAGGTAACTCGGATCCAGAGAACATGAGTCCTCGTGATCGAATCGAAGAATTCCCGGGGAAAAAGACTGTAAGACTGGAAGGTGGACTATATGAATGTTCAATAACTTCATTAAAGTCAAAATTGATAGAGTTAAGCTACTGGTGATCTTTATTTTCCTTAAAATCTAAGTGGCATAATTTCGGTGACAGAGAGCATAATTTTCAGAAAGTAGCATAATTTTGGCATAATTTCTAAAAAACATGAGCACTGCTAAAAGCATAGTATGCTTTTTTTCGGGCACAATCTACCAAAGCCTAGACCCATTCCTTAATTCACTTGAGGCCTTTAAACTTGAGTAATCCATTGTAATTGCGATACGTTTCGTTACGTGTAGTAAACTTGATTTAAAGTTTAATTTGTCGTCTTACGCTCAAGAGTAACTTAGTTTCCAAAGGGGAAAGGATTTCGAGGCTGCATTCCAACACCTCTTGCCGCGAAATACGATGGACAATTAATCTTGGTCATGAGCAATAAAATGCCAACTGATCAGCTTACATGGACCAAAGTAATGCATAATTAACAGGTTAGTTCAAGTTTATTTATTACTATCTCTTTGGTGTTTTTCTACTTTAGTGAGCTATTATTTTCAGGGCTAATTTTGTACCTGGCCAAAATAACTCAAAATATCGGGACGGAGCTTCTTCGGTATGAAATTCTTCTTGGAGACTTATCGCTCAGTGAAAAATGGGACTGTATGCCGGCTGCAATATACTAGGAGAGTAGAGAATTACCCTGATACGTTTTTATTCTTCAGATTATGCAGGATCCCGTCAGCAATCCATCGTCAAAATACACATTGAAGATGAAAAAAGACAGCAAGGATTATGACGAACAGGTTGAAGTTGACACTGAGAAATTAAAGAAACAGAGACTTTCCACGTGCCAAAGACTTCACCCGATGATGAAGCAGGAGATATCGTCTACGACTTTAAGAAGGTTATAACATGATTACACTCTTCATGTACTATACTACTTATACTACAGGTTATTCTAGTGTACATGTCGGTCGACCGCGGACTTTCTTGTGCTACAAGTCAGTCTCATTTCTCTTGGTGTCTCTGTATGTGTATATTATGCGATCTGTCTTGAAACTGCCGATATGAAAATATATAGAGCCAAGTTCGTAATGTCGGGAAACTGGTTTCCTTATGTCTTAAACCCTAAGTCCTCTTTCGGCTTATTAGTCACTTAGCTTTATAATTAATTCAAGAGCTGTTGTGGAACTGCTAAGCAAATCACGTGTGACCTTGTTTTGCAAAATTTAACGATGATCCATCTGCCAGCGACCAATTCCTGCTTTTTGAGCGATTCAATCGATGATGTTCCTAAGCCTGGCGACTTAAAGAAACTGCTGGTAACTTAAAGGTTTCTTTTCGTTAGTTTGAACCATGGCAGCATTGGAAATGAAACAAATAAGCTAGCTAGCATTTTATAGATCACTTTCATAGAGTGAAGAATTTCCCCTTCATATATTACTTTCTTACTAGGGAGATAAAGGTGGACGGGTTGCGATACCAAAACAACAAATTGAAGTGAAGTTCAAAGTTGTCGGAACAGTAGAAGACCGTTGTGAACGGAGTGATGAAATGACAGATCTGTGTGAGAAACTTCCCATTTACGTCGTGGTCGAGGGGGAGGTGGATTCAACTACCGCTCTACAACCCAGTTAACGCAATCGAGAAACCGTGGTTGGGAGTCATTATCTGTCACAGTGTATTAATTAATAAACTAATTATTTAAAAAACTGGATAAATAATCAACGATTTACATCACTTAGTGTGTGATCTGTCCCACAGCACGTGAACCTGACGGGGGATAAATCGAATCTTTTTTTCGTTCATTAATTTCCTCTTCTATTTTCTTATTTTGGTATATTACGATAATTTGCTCATGTTGCAACTCAGATAAGTATATAGTCCCTTTGTGATCAGCGAAGTTTAGGGACGACTCAAAGTACAGTCGAGTCTTACAAGCGCCTGAAATTCACACTCTAAAAAAAATTATCTCTTGTTTCTTGTCTGTTTAGGTTCCAAACGTGGTTTGAGGCGTTGGATATGAGAATTGGTGTGTCGCTATGTGTGCAGAAGGATTTGCAATTCCTTTTCCTACTATGACTTTTGCTATGAAATCTGCTTTAGAGTCTGTCGGTGGGTCAGTGGATAAAGCTTCCTTTGCCTGCCTTTACCGAGAAATTTATGTTAAGTTTTCGCTAATATATATTATTATTTGCTTCGTAAAGAATACAATTAGTTTTTTTAAAATTTGACTGTTGTCATAGAAGGACAAAAAATCTAGGGCAAGTTTCACAGTTAAAATCACTGATTAATATTGTAAGAGATTTAACTAAGCCAAGCAAATAAAGCCATTTAGTTTACCACAGTCTTGAATTGCCTCTCTATTATTACTTGGGCATAGCCCACTGACCCACAATCAGTGTGAAGGCCCAAACCGATTCCGCCTAATGATCGATCGACCGGCCATTATTTTTCTTCCTGACGTTTACAGATTTGTATTCAGTCAACACTGGTTTACGGCAAGAAAAGCAACTCGCGCTAGGGCTAGAGTGTGGGCTCTTTATAAAAGGGGTTTTGAACTTGCGTTACACTGTACTGTACAAGAAATACTGTAACCCAAAAGAAAGGTCAGCGCTAGCGCTGGAAATAATAGCCGCAACAGTTAAAAACCAAATTCCAAGAGGACGTTCATTCATACTAACAATTCATTCAGTCACCTTTTAGAGATGCCTTAATGAAGTCAAAAACGTCCTAAACATATATACGGAATGGCCTCGGGATTCAAGGGAAGAAGGCCATGACGAACTCTAGCCACTGAAGAAAAACGTTCTTAGTTGCCATTTTTGTTTTTTGCAATCTGACGAGACTGCCATCCATAAGTGCAAGGCCTTGACAAAATAACCCTACTTTTGCCGAAAGGAAGATGCCAAATAAATTTAGCTACACGCGAAAATTATTTTAAAGAAATCACAGAATAAAAAGGGAGTAGTTCGGCCGACACTAACCTTTTCAGTCATTCAACTGCTTCTGAGTCACTTTGTCTTGATTATATCTGTAACAAATTCAGTGAGTCTGGGATACACTGAAAAACATGTATAAGCGAAGAAATTTCTTTGGCGCATGAACGAAATACAGTTGTTTCAAAATTTAATCCTGCGTGAAGGGCTGAGGGTCTTTGAGTGTGACAACTTCTTTTATCCATTCCGGGGCATGAACCTTATGGAATCGTCACTAAGGACAATTGATCACTTTCATTTATTAAAACACATTCGTCCATAAACTTAATTTAAACTCGAATTTTTGAGTCTGTTTCCTCCTCTAGGCGACGCCAATTGTAGCTTCTATGTCAGAGCTAGTGTATTTCTTAACCCCACAAACGCGTCTCAGTAGGGGCGGTGCTCTTTCCAGAGCTGACTTGAACTTCTGATCTGTACTGCTGCATCACGCTTAGACGGCGCCCCTTGCGGCTTCGCCGCTCGCCTCTTCTCGTTCGTCAGCGTTTCTTCCCTCGCCGATCTTCGAGTAAACAAGAGACTGCTCGCAACCTACATTACGTTATTTTGGGTAAAGCTCGTTCATAGTTCTTGCTTAGCGCGATATGTAGTAACGGAACCATCGGGGATTCCCCTGTTGCACGGCAAAGATCTTAAGGAGAAGACTAAAACCTGACCTTAGCAACAGGGGAAAAGTCGCGGTACGCAAGAATTCGGTGTTATTTTCCTGAAACGGCTTCTCAACTGTTAAGTTGTAAATAGACCGCGCGAGGTTTGTCATCAGTGTTTCCTCTTTTCTCAGTAAGGTAAAGCTAAAGTCTGCAGACGCGAAAAGTGGCCCATCAGGCCGCAGCTTATCCCGGTTTCTCTAGCATGAAGCGACTGGGAGTATTTCTACATTAAATTCAACGGTACCCATTTATACACCTAGGTGGAGAGAGGCATTGTGAGACTAAAGTGTCTTGCCCAAGAACGTACACAACACAATGTCCCCGGCCAGGGTTCGATCCGGAGAGGAGCGCACTACTTCTCTCAGTACGTATATTTATCATGATTTTCGTTTCACGTTTAAGTCGGAGAAGTTCTTCACCGTTTCAGAGTTACGTCACTTAGACTAACCAAAAAAGATTTTTTAACACGGAAACTTCAACAGAAATTATTCGCGGATTTTAGCAGTGAATATACTAGACGCAAATTGCCTTCTATTCTCTAGACTACGAGTAGTCCCTCTTTCGCTTAGTCCGTCGTGCGTGACGCGAAAGAAAACCGCGAAAGAAAAATGGCCGCACGAAATCATGGGGTCGAGGAGCCTAAGCCCAGGAGTTTGAATTATGCGTTGCTCTCACAACGCAAAAATATGATTGGCTTATGTTAGGAGCGTTGACAACGTGTTGTCAACATTCGAGATACGTGCGACGTCTTGCAGGAATGTTTTGGAACCGGAGCAAATCGAAGCGTTGGAATCGCGCTTCTATTCGCAAGCCGTGATTTTCTTGCAAATCTGCCAACAGGCTTTGGAAAGATTTAAATTTATCCAGTGTTTTGTTTGGCAAAGCTTTCCGCCTCCAACCCGACTGCGAGCGTGTTAG